TGGCAAAAAGAACAAGATTATGGTCAGAAAGACCAGTCAGTAAGTTATAGGTTTTAACTATTCTGTCAGCTTTGTTAGTGAATACTAAATCTATCATAGTCTTGGAGGTTTTGGTTATTCTAGTCGGTTGATCCATTAGTTGTATATGTTCAGAGGCCTAGTGAGGAGGATAGCATAAGGTCTTGAGACAATTCGATGAAAAACACAATATTTATGATCAAAAACAAAGTCACTCGGTCAGATTTGACCCGAAACGCAAGAGAAGGGTTAAAGAGGCCCTATCGTGCTCTCCTGTAGTGAGTTCTGTAGGTTGCAGTGCATGTCAACGGTCTGCAGAGGCTCAAATCCCTCAGTTCTAATTCTCTCACACACTCAAGAAAACTGGATGCAGAAACTCTACAGAAACATACACAACAAATACAATCAATGCAAAACAACAGGAAACACAAACAAAACCAACAACAACATGAGGTGTAAAACTATTTAGATATCGACTTCAAACGACTCAAAGAGAGACCTCACACGACTACAATATAATCCATAACTACTGAAATAAACAGAGAACCTCAATACTAAGATGCAAACTGACGAAAAACAGACTTTAAACGAACACAATGAAAAATAAAATGAGCAACAACTACAATGAGACCCAACAAGACAAAGTTGATGCAGAACACCACAACACGTGTAACAACTGTTTCCCTTTATTTATATATAAATAAAGGGAAATAGATGCAAAAGGACTAAATCAAATCAAATCAGGTTTTATTTATAAAGCACATTTAAAAGCGATTTTTGGTCGAGCCAAAGTGCTGTACATGTAATAAAAACACAATACTACAATCACAATAAACGACAATAAATTACAACAGATATATATAAAAAACTAAATAAAAACACAAGGAAAAGTCAGGAGTCGTGCTCCGCTCTGACTAGAAGGCCAGAGAGAAGAAGTGTGTTTTTAGTGTTGATTTAAAACCCCCTAGGGTCTGGGCCGACCTCACATGGAGGGGCAGAGTGTTCCAGAGCCTCGGGCCAGCTGCTGCGAAGGCTCGGTGCCCTCTGGTTTTGAGCCTGGTCTTGGGCACTACCAGCAGCAGCTGGTCAGCAGACCTTAAAGCTCTGGCTTGGGTGTAGCGCTGGAGGAGTTCAGTTATATAGGCCGGAGCCAGCCCATTCAGTGCTTTAAAAACAAATAAAAGGATTTTAAAATCAATTCTGAACCGAACTGGAAGCCAGTGCAGTGAGGCCAGAATAGGGGTGATGTGGTCACGCTTTTTGTGGCCAGTCAGCAAACGTGCAGCTGTGTTTTGGACTAGCTGCAGGCGTTTAATTGAGGCCTGGTCCATACCCACATACAGAGCGTTACAATAGTCCAGTCTCGAGGTTACAAAGGGCGTTAATAACCCTTTCTAAGTCATTAAAAGATAAATACGACTTGGTTTTGGCCAATAGTCTTATTTAAAAAAAGCAGGATTTGACTACGGTGCTGACCTGCTTGTCGAATTTAAAAGTGCTGGTGAAGGTCACTCCAAGGTTCATGACCGAGGGGAGGATGTTTTTTTTGATAGAGCCCAGAATATCAACCGGAGAGGCTGGAGGTTGGGGTCCAAAAAAGATGACCTCAGTCTTGCTCTCGTTGAGGTTGAGAAGGTTTTTGCTCAGCCAGGATTTTATCTCTGCTAAGCAGTCCATCAGCTGCTGTAATGAGTGTGTGACATTTGCTTTGAGAGGCAGATAGATCTGTACATCGTCGGCGTAGCAGTGGAAGGGAAATTTATGTTTAGTGAGAATTGAACCTAGGGGCAGTATGTACAGTAGAAAAAGGATGGGGCCCAGAATCGAGCCTTGGGGACTAAAAGGAGACGCATACGACAACAACATGACCAAAAGAGAAACAAACACACTGTTACGTGCTCCCTTTTTCTGTTGTCTTCTCTGTCTCTCTGCTGCGCAGGTACACCTGGTCCGCCCCTGGCTCCGCCTCCCCCAGGTGTCCTAATTCCATTCAGCTGGGGACTTAAAAGGAGAAGCTGGAGGAGAAGAGCTCTCTCTCCTGATCCTTATGCCGGAAGACTCCGTCCGAGGACAATCTCTCTATGCTGTTTGGATCTGTAGATCATTTGTGTTAATTTGGCAATATGTGTACTCTGGAGGATGTGGTAGTATAGGTTTTCGCGGCTTTATTTTACCCGTAGGGTTTTGTTAGATCTCTGGGTAGGGGAGGGAAGCTATAAAAAATAGACTTATAAAAACCAAAGCAAAATAAGCTACTACCATCGCCTAATGTTACCTTTTCTTGCTGATCTGCAGAAATGATGGCAAACATCAGCTGATGGCGATGTCAGACCGATGCATCGGGGCTCGATTGCGTTAAATAACTACAAACAGACACAACGACTATACATACATTTACACAAAAGTACTACAAAGATATTCAAAACTTGAATAATGAGACCGCTTCTAGTAATGGACCCAAGACTACTACACTCCTTCAAAGTGACCTCCAAATGAATCAAGACATCCCTTCACTCTACTAAACAGAGTGCATCCTTTGTGTATATTTCCATCAACACATCAACCTGTACTGTATGTTGTATTTCTTTGTGTTTATGTGTATCAATCTGTTTCATACTACAGAGCGAGCTGCATGCTGTTATCTGTGCTGGGTTTAACATCCCATCAGCCTCCTGTCAGCTGCTGGTTCAAACCTGCACCATGCTGCCCTCTGGTGGCTGCTCACACAAACTGCTCAGAGCAAACTGCACACAGCCTGACACCACAAACTATACCCATGATACACTTTTAGGATCCACATCTAAGAACCAGGGGCCGTTCTCATTTCACTAATTTCCCCTCCTCAACTCCTCGAATCCTCGGTCCTCCGGTAGTTGTTTTGCATGGGCCCCTGGCCGGCTCTGGGCCCCGGTGCGTTGCACCGGCTGGACCGGCGATTGTTACGCCACTGATGTTGAGTGAAGCTAACATGAACTGCTGTATATTAGGGACAGTAACAAGAACGATGTGTCACTCATTCAACACTTTTAACTACCATACATTATTTTTTCTGTATTTGCAGTTTACTTGGTAGCAACTAAAGCAGGTACAAAGCTGCATTGATTTAAAGAAACCTGCTCCTTCTGCTGCATGTCGAGGACTTCTGTTCTTGGAATACAATAACCCAACATTACACTTTAGGGTGTAACATGAAGGGGTGAAGGGATGAAGGGATGAAGAGATGAAGGGATGAAGAGATGAAGGATGAAGGGATGAAGAGATGAAGAGATGAAGAGATGAAGGGATGAAGGGATGAAGGGATGAAGGGATCTAAGGATGAAGGAATGAAGAGATGAAGGGATGAAAGATGAAGGGATGGAGGGATGAAGGGATGAAGGGATGAAGAGATGAAGAGATGAAGAGATGAAGGGATGAAGGGATCTAAGGATGAAGGAATGAAGAGATGAAGGGATGAAGGGATGGAGGGATGAAGGGATGAAGGGATGAAGAGATGAAGGGATGAAGAGATGAAGGGATGAAGAGATGAAGGGATGAAGAGATGAAGAGATGAAGAGATGAAGGGATGAAGGGATGTAAGGATGAAGAGATGAAGAGATGAAGAGATGAAGAGATGAAGAGATGAAGGGATGAAGGGATGTAAGGATGAAGAGATGAAGGGATGAAGGGATGAAGGGATGAAGAGATGAAGGGATGAAGAGATGAAGGGATGAAGAGATGAAGAGATGAAGGGATGAAGAGATGAAGAGATGAAGGGATGAAGGGATGAAGAGATGAAGGGATGAAGAGATGAAGAGATGAAGGATGAAGAGATGAAGGGATGAAGGGATGAAGGGATGAAGGGATGAAGAGATGAAGGGATGAAAGATGAAGAGATGAAGAGAAGAGATGAAGGGATGAAGAGATGAAGAGATGAAGGGATGAAGGGATGAAGGGATGAAGAGATGAAGAGATGAAGGGATGAAGGGATGAAGGGATGAAGGGATGAAGAGATGAAGGGATGAAGAGATGAAGAGATGAAGGGATGAAGAGATGAAGAGATGAAGGGATGAAGGGATGAAGGGATGAAGGGATGAAGAGATGAAGGGATGAAGAGATGAAGAGATGAAGAGATGAAGGGATGGAAGGGATGAAGAGATGAAGAGATGAAGGGATGAAGGGATGAAGGGATGAAGAGATGAAGGGATGAAGGGATGAAGAGATGAAGAGATGAAGGGATGAAGGGATGAAGAGATGAAGGGATGAAGAGATGAAGGGATGAAGGGATGAAGGGATGCAGAGATGAAGAGATGAAGGGATGTGGGTATTGATGAGGCAGGAAGGGGAATGGATGAATGAATAGGAAAGGTGGGTTGTGGGGTTAGAGGTCAGCTGGAGGTGAAGCTGCTCCTGAACATAAGTGTACTAATAACATAAATATACACATACAGTAAATGTTTATTACTCAGGTCATGGTTTAAGTTTGTTGAGGACGAAACTATTTTGAGACACGTTTATCATTTCTTAAGAGGTGAGAGAGAGTTGTTCCACAATGTTGGCCTGTGTGAGCGGACCCCACTGAAGCAGCTTGTTGCCCCCCCCCCATCACGTCCATTCATCAAATATCTGTTATATGTGAATCTGAAAGTGACTAGTACTTACAGCTGTCTGATAATGGACTGCAGTCAAGTATGAAATAGTTTCTTCTAAAATGTTATAAAGTATAACTTTAAAGTAAAATACCTCTAAACTGAACTTCAGTTCTTAAATAAATGGAGTCAAAGTTACTTTGCAGCGAGAAGTTAAGGGTCAGAAACATTTGAGGCGTAACAACATGTATTTATTGTTAAAAGACTTGTTTACTGACTTTCCTGCTCTGCTGACTTTGGCTGTAGATTGTATTGTACAGTGGTTGCATATCCTTCATACTGAGTCACACCCATGCACGTCACAGGTGTGATCCGGTACGTCTTGTTTTTGTGTTTACTGTACTTTAATGCCACGTCTTCAGATAAAGGTGAACGGTTTATCAGAGACAGCATCTCACTCTTTCTCTCTGTGTCTCTCTGTTTCTCTCTGAAGGAGAATCAACAATCTCAGGTTTTTCTGAACAAACAGCAGAATCTCTGGTGAGTTTCCTACAAATCTCAAACACACTGGATACCACAATCTGATTTAAAGAAATCTCAAGGTAGGACTACTCTTTAAGGCAAAACGTTACATTTAGTGCATTGAATGTGTCTTTTTAACTTGTGTATTGTATGTTTTTGATTGGATATTGTTACTGGTACATGTTCTGTATTCTTTACCTGCTTGGGGACTACGGACATAAATTGGCATTTTATACAGATGGTCATTAATTCTCCCTATCAAATAAATAAACAAGATACGTTTTTTCTAAGCTCTGTTATGACATATTCAGTTGTTACAGATATCATACTTCTTTCTGAAATCTTCCAGTTGCTTCTTTATTGTTGGCCGTTATTATTTTACTTGTGGTGATATTACTTTGATATTATGTCAACAATACTTTAGATAACTCTCTCCTTATTTCCAGTGGTGCAGGGTTTTTGATCAATGTCGTAGAACAAAATGTAAAATAAGGAAGTGCCAAAATGCTGAATCATTTGCTGGTTTTAGAACTCATTCCTGCGCCACCTTTTGGCATATACTGTCTGATATTCAAGAAGACGTTCACCTTGTTCTTATATCAAGTAACAGAAACTTAGACTGTGAGGAGGATCAGTTAACTTGTACTTTGCTTTGGTGGAAAAAGTATTCAGAGTCTTTACTTCAGTAAACGTACCAATACGATTAATGTCAAAGACTCCTTTACAAGTAAATGCATTTTAAACCAAACTTACTCTCACTTTTAGAGTATCAAAAATAAGGGGACTAATTTAGCAGGAAAATGGATTTCATATGTGCTCTATTATAATATATGACATTATTGATTGTTAATATTGTTGTAACAATTAGCATTTTACTTCAGTTACTTACTGCTTATTGTAATCTACAGATGACACACACTGCTCCTCTTTGTGGAGTAAAGCATGTTCCCTTCCTTCCTGCTCTCAAACAGAGCCAGCTACCCCCCTCTCAAGGTATGTGATGGTTCCCTCACTTTTATATGTTCAGGTATGAACAACAACATGCTGGTAAATGCAGAGGCTGCTTCCTCCTTCACTGCATTAAGTGAAGCAGAGCAGGAGGAGACTGGGGCCGTTTCTCAATGTCGAGTAGACCTGCTGCAGTAGGGATGGGTCCCGAGCCCCGGTATTAACCGGCCGTGGTACCGTTAAGCTCCGACGTTATCTGTCTTTTTATCGGTACTGGAGACATGTAAAAAATATGTCATATGTATTATTGCTACACAAACATTATATTGCAGTTTTAGTGTCGCCAACTCCGTTTCTAATATGCAAAAAGACTGTAAAATGCGCCATTTTTGTATTTTTCGATCTTTCCAATCCAGACGAGAGATCTCTCTCCCCCGCCTGCTTGCGAGGGGGCGGTTACACACACGCAGCTGCTACATGCAGCAACACACACACACACACACACACACACACACACACACACACACACACACACACACACACACACACACACACACACACACACACACACACACACACACACACACACACACACACACACACACACACACACACCACACACACACGGAGGAGATGGCGGAGAGAACGCGCTCCGAGGTGTGGTTAAACTTTACCCGTCTCGATGTGGACAATGCTCGTTACCAAAAGTACAATAAGAGTTTAGCATGTCAGGGCGGGAACACGAGCAATTTGTCTAAACATTTAGCAAAAGTGCTCCACATTCAGACGGAGGAATGCACCGGGTTCGACTGTCTTTCTAGTAGATCTGTAGCCCCATCCACGAGTAACGTTTCCACGTCAGGTGTTATGTATGCTAGCAGCAACACACGGAGCTAACTCAATGATACAAACATGTGTTAAAGATTAGAGGGAACTGAGTTTCAGCCATTCTGTTTACAGTTCTGTCATCAGATTATTTAATACCATTTGTTAAAACATTGTTGTTTCTTTTGATGTGAAATATTATGTATTTAATTGAAATAAAAAGCAATGTTAGTTTTGTTCACAATTTGTTTAGTTAGTTTACCTTATTTTTTTCTCCAAAAGAACCGATAAGAGTACCGTTAAAAGACCGGACCGATAAGCGGTATCGATAAAAGTAGTAGTACCGTTAAAACCTTAACGATACCCATCCCTATGCTGCAGAGCCACTATTTCAAGTATACTACGTCATCAAGTGGCGCCGAAGGACTGTTTAAATGCATGTTAAATGCCCAGCATTCGGCGCCACTTGATGACTTAGTATACTTGAAATAGTGGCTCTGCAGCAGGTCTACTCGACATTGAGAAACAGCCTTGCTGTCTGTCAGACTACTTTACTCTACCAAAGATGGACGACTTGCTGTTGTTGCCCATATAAGCTGTGGACAGCCGGCAGTCAGAGCTGCCTGTTGTTCACGTCTCAGGCTCGAAAATGACATTCCCAGAACAAATGACCATATCTTCCCTTCTAAAAGGGGTAAATTAATAATCTTTTTTCTCAAAGCAATGATAAACCTGTGAGTTGGATGTAGAAAAGTCAGAATCAATATAGATTTTTTTATTTTAAAGTAAATTCAGATTGAACATAGTAAGAAAATGTAAATTATAGTGTCCGTCCAAAAACAAAACATTACTTATAGTGAAAACTACCCTTGAATGATGGGTTAGTAGACTAAAAGCTTTAGGAATCCAAACTATAATATATAATAAGTACCCTGTATCAATATTGATGCAAAACAAGTGACATTTGACCTTTTTAGAGAGATTTAGCAAAAAACCACCACTTCTGGGGTCATTTGGGTGAATTTGACATATCTCTGGAACCCATCGGTCGATTTTGATGACTGACACTGACTTTTGAATCATTAGAGCCAATAGAATCGAGGGGAAGTTCCTAAATCCATCTAAACATTACCCATTGGTGAATAGAGTGATGCGCAGCCAGAATGCCGAAAACCGGAAGCTGGGTTACAGCTCTCGTAGCTCTCGTAGCAGCTAATATGAAAACTCAGTTTTTGACATAACTCTTATGATGGATGATCAGTAATCATTTCAAAGTGACACAGAGACATTGGATCAACCTTCAGCAGCGTTTATATGCGTTTGTATGCCATTGAACACAACTTTGATCAGAAAACAGCAAAGGTGAGACGTATTTGCCGTTTTGGCTCCGTAAAGTGAAGTTGTGAGTTGTCTTTGCTTGCCTTCGCTGCCGTGAGTTTTGGTCGCACAGTGATTATACTTATACCATTGGAATCTGTGGAATCTCAGCTTTCATAAGATATCTTTTTTCTATGAAGTATACAATATTTCTACCGTGAGTTATGTTTCTAAGTGCGTTAGCACTCTTTCGCTTAGTGCTAATTCAGACGCTTGGCGTTAGAGTTGTGTTTTGTTTCGGTAAAAATGGTTCATATCGTCAGTTAGCTGAGTTTCTTCCCGTTAAGTGGGTATGACACATTAATAGGTTGTTAAATGTTAAGAAGCCCTGAGACACAGTTTTGTGAATATTGTTGTGTTTTGGCCCCGGGGGCGGGGGCATGGGGTTTAACAGGTTGACCATATATGCAATATCTCTTTAGTGAAAACCAAATATCACAATATGTTGACCAAATCCCTGGATAAGGAGAAGGTTGATTATTGGTGCTTTTACAACATATTCACACAATGAGATTTTTGATGAATAATCTAATGTTAATATAACAGCTAAGTGAGTAAAATCATATTATAAAACAGTCTGATAAGATTAGATCACTTTTCTGAAATGCACCCAGGATAAAACAATTATGGGATGTAACAATATCAGAAACCTAACACAGAACCTAATCTCTTATCACGATACTGATATTATTACATTATAGAAGATTTCATTGTCCTGTACAGCATTTAATTGTTCATTTCTACATTGTGCTCTCACTCGTTTTGACATGTATATATATGTTCCTTTTTATGTTTTAAGTATATTTAAAATTGCAGAGGAGCCTTAGATTAGGTTAGAGGGTCTTAGATTTCTTTGCTAAAACTACAAAACCTTGAATCATGAACCTTTAGTCTTTGAGTTTTGTCAGTCTATGGCCCAGCCCTAATCTGATCGTAGACTCAGCAGTTCCTTGGAAACGCCCTGTGAGAAAGTCCATGCAGCGTTTACAACTCCTGCTGCCTCAATAAAGCCACACACATTGTAAAGGACAGCTCCCACCCCGGTGTTCACCTGTTGGACCTGCTGCCCTCCAGGGGGCGCTACAGGTGCATTAAAACAAAGACAAACAGACTACAGACAGGGGGTGTTTCTCAATGTCGAGTAAAGCTGCTTCAGAGACACTATTTCAAGCATACTACGTCATCGAGTGCCGCCGAAGTGCTGTTCCAATCTCCAGCATACTTGGAAATCTACCGAGCCCGGCGTACTCCGTTTGGAGAAATATCGAGGCTGCACATGAGTAGACTCCGCGGTCTTAAAATCCCCACAATGCTTTGCGCACGGACCAATTTCCAAAATCTGTGGCGGAAGATGTAAGCGGGGCCTCTCATATGACGCACACCTGCACACTTGCTAGCCTGTTCCACACTTTGTTTTCCAAATGCCAGGAAGTATTCTTGACTCGCTCCACAAGCGTACTCCACATTGAGAAACACCCACTTTCTCCCCCAGAGCAATCACTGAACTCCTGCTCTATTACCCCTCAGTCTTCCTCCCCTGCACATTAACCCATACATGCAATATATATCATTTATCCATACATATTCCTATTCTTTCTACAACTGAATATAAGTCCTGCAAGTTGTTCTTTTACATAAGTATGAATGCTGAGGGTCTTTGTTGTTCTACACTCCGTGAAGGTATTTCATGTTTGGGATCATTTGTTTTTTGTATAACCTTGCTTTGTGCAAGTGACAATTGTTGTCGTCTTCTCTGTGAACGTTTTTATCGCTGTTCTTTTGCCATTTTGAGATTTAAATTTCCAGCGAAATCTATACCAAGAAGTGTTTTAGCACACCACGTGACACACCTGAACGAATCACGTTGTCAGAAATTGACACCAGCCAATGGGATTTCGTTTTTCGGTTTAAGACCTCTTTGTACTTTCACGATTGGTTGCTGATACAAAGGAAATGACCATATTTGGATCCGATGAGATTGTGCAGGAGAGACGGAGCTTTCCAACGATACCTCTGAAGACATGGTGCAAACAGCGGTCGCAGTACTTTATGTTACGTTAGAATGCTAACTTTTGGTGAATTTAGGAGAAACCTACAGACGCAAATAGACAAAATATAGTAAAATAAACACCTAAATGTGTATTTTGTACATTTTCCTTCCAAAAGCCTGAAAGAAAACATGTTATGGAATCAAAATAGCACAACATATCAAAATTGACCAGTGCATGAAAAACGATGTGTTTGCCTGCCGTGTCTCGCCTTCATGAGTGAGACACGGCAGAGTTGAGGATCTGTAGGGTTTGTATGTCGATGTATGGGAAACACTGTTGTTTGTATTACTATTATTAATAATAACAACGTGTGCATAGACCTTTTTCAGCGACGGACTGGCCATCTGTAGAATGTCCCCCCGTTGACAATTCACGTGGTGGGGTATTTTGGGGGTCACGGGCTGAAAAGTATCTTATCTTTTTATTTCATTTGTATATTTCTATGAATGTTTGATAGCACCTTAAAAGGAGTATCTCTTCACTTTTCACTTCACATGTATAATCACATTAACGGCTTCTATTATATAATATTCTATTGAAATACTGATTTGAATATGTTCCTATTATGTTCTGATGTGTTCATACTGTCTCTCCTGTGTGTCCTCTTCAGGTCACCAAGACGAGGCGTAACTGAGGAGGGGGATCGCTGAGTCTCTGCTGAGGCCTAAAATAAATGATTGTTTGTTTCTGGTTGGTTCTCAGCTAAGGTCATGGGGAGGTAGGGAATTTATTTTATTTTTATTTTATTTATTTTTTCAAATCGTTTACAAACAAACAAAAGCTTTCAGCTTAAACAGTACACTGAACTATACAACTGAACAGCTTTCCACTGTGCACTAACCCTACCTCTGCAGAACACAACTGATGCTCTCAAACACATTATCATTCCACAAATTGACTCTTGACAAGGCACACGTGTTAATTCAAAACCATTACAGTGCCCTGTACTACGAAGCCGGATTTTCACTTAGCGAGGTAACTTCAGGGAAAACTCTGGGTTTCCGGTCCTACGACGCTGGATCTCTTCTTAGCGGGCTAGATTAGGTTCCAGATAAGAGATAAACTCAGTGAAATCAGCCTGCTGAGCAATCAAAGCTCTGTGTGCGGAGTTTAAAGCGATCAATTCATATTACAGGATAGAGGTAATACAGAAAAACTGCCGTTGCAGGAAAGACGGCCGGCAAAAATCACCGACTGTGTGAACGTGAACATTAATAGAATATCCCCTCCCATCTTCAGAGCAATCTGACTATTATAACATTAGCGTTAAGAAAGCTTACTTAAATATCTGCCACAACATAAGTAACCGGATCAGAGTAACATTACGTACAGTCCGCTGCACTGTGAGTGCAGACGTTGATGTGTCCCATTATCATTCATATCATATCACATCATAATGTATCATATATTTCCTTATCTGAGTCAGCTTCTCGTAGGACACTTATGGCGCATTTCCATTGCAGGACCCGGCTCGGCTTAGTACAGTATGGTTAGGCCTTGTTAGGCCTTGTTAGGCCAGGCTCACTTTATGCTGCGTTTCCATTACAGTTTGTAGCTGGGGCAGTAACTATAGTAACGCAGTGTAGGCGGAGCCGTGACGTCATCTTCAATGCGAAACACAGAAAACCAACACAGCCGTTAGCTGTTAGCACTCAGAGCTCACAGCTCCTCATATCTGTTCAGAAACTAGACAAAAGTTAAACAAGTACACACCACAGACTGTCTGTGTCATGGAGAATACAGTCGCTGCTTTATTTATGCCTGTATAGGCCGTTGTTGTGAGTGTGGACGGTCGGAGCATATACTGCGTTAGCTTAGCCAATCTCCATTCAGAAAACACGCATTTTAAAGGTGTTTTGCCTGCCGTCTGTCTGCAGACTTGTCAAAGCATTAATTCATGGTTTTTACTAACCGGTATCAGTATGTTGTTACTTCGGCATCATTTTGAAACGTGTATTACAATTAAATCACGGTAAAATATGTTCATTTTCTTGTAGTTGTAGCCCCCTTGCCAGCGATTCTCTCACTAGTTTAGCATACTCAGCCCAGTTGTTGGCCCGGAAAGAACCTCGATTTTGGAGAGCCAGAAAACTGTGAAAAACTACCCCTAGTGGAAACGCCACCAAAAATGGGCCGGGCACGGCACGCTTAAACCGTGCTCCGCGCTGTAGTCGAAATGCGCAATTACAGTGTCACATACTGTATGCAGAAGTATTATTTTAAGCAACACATTAAGTTGACGAAACACTCGGGTCAAATGTAATTAAAGTCAGATCGTGTCTTGGACGGGGCAGTGATATCATAAACCTGTTAATGTACGCATTCAAACACTTTTTCTGTTACCAGCTGTATTCAACTTGCAGGTGCAGCTATGTGGCTTTGATCCTGGATAAAGTGTTTAAGTCATGGATGTTTAAAGTTTAACTTCTTCATAATGTCTAATATTATAGTTCACTTTTCATTCAGGAAGAATGACGCTGCGCTGTCAGTACGCTTGTCCATGTTTGTGATTGGTCGACCTGGTCTCACCAGAATGCGTGACTCCACCACGACTCGTTAACACCGCAGTGCGTGGTGGAGTCACGAACTTTGCTACATTTACGTGTCTGCACCACGCAAACAACCCCAATGTAAAGTGAATGAGGCTCCTTTGTCGTGGTGCACACACACATTTCTACAACGTCCAGCATTGAGCTTTTATTCTATAAAACGTTTTTAAAATCTACTTTATAGCTTGTAGTAACTCACGGGAGGCTTCTTTTATTTTATTTGTATTCATAATAATTTTTATTTTTCGTCAGAATGTATTATGGTGCATTATTCACCAATTTTTGTTCTCAAAAAACAATGTATTGTAAGTAATACAACTGTGATTTTTATTAAATTAGTTAGTTTTTAAGGAAGGCCAGAGAGTATGTACTCTTAATATTTAAATGTTTTCATCAAATATAACACATTCAAAGTGCTTTACAAAAATGAAAGACATTAAGAAAAAGGCATTTTAAACAGTCATTAAAAAGCAACACAATCTACCTGCATTGCAATCACTCTAAACGTGTAATAACGTGCTTTAACCAGTAGGAGGTGCGGGTTAAAAAGCTGTCAAGTTTACAGTGTTAACAAAATAAAATATACTGCTGTTTCTGGTTTAGTTTACGACGGATATATTCTGTTATTGTTTTGATATTTGTAACACAAAAGCGATGTAAAAAACCCACAGTAACACAGAAAAGATGGTCTTAACATGACCCAGCAGTCTAGTAGTTAATACAAAACAATAATATCAAAACAAATTATTACTACTAACTTTATTGTGAAATTAAAACAGAACGGTAAAAGAATAGTTTCCGGTCTATTCTAAGGCCCGATCTCTGTAGATAAATAAAGAACTACGACAGATGTGTAATGTTTAATGCAGCCAAACCATTCATTACAATGCATTCATGTGATGACTTTCAAAGAGTAAAGCAAGCACTGCTGAATAAAGTATGATTTGATCTTTTACGAAACGTTTTTTTTCATATGGAATGCAGTTGGAGGTCAACCAATCACAGAGCTTGAGGCAAAGCGGAACAATAGCTGAGGATTCTGGGTAGTGTAGTGTCTTCTGCCATCCTAAACTCTGAACAAATATTTGTTTCTCCGAATCGAAGGGGAAAATTACAAAAGCATTGTACACAATTTAAACCAATCAATGTTGTGTAATTAACAAGGATAATCTGGTGTTTTTGAGTTGATGAGTAGTGCAGATATCACTGTCAAATCCAGTGGCGAGCCGTGAGCTTTATACCTAGGCCCTCTGACCCCCACCCCTTCCCTCGAAAAAAAGAAAAAAAAAGAGTTATTACGTCACAGCGTATACTTCAGCGGAATATCAAAACAACGGCCCGGGGTGCAAAACGCATCAATGACAGCGACCCTCTACCACACAAAACAACACCTGTGAACCCAATTTGTGTTCTTTGACATTGAAAAGGATATTGCATTGTGTTTGTTACTTTCGTTGCAGTTGTTTAAGTGTAATTTGGCATGCTTTTATTTTGAAGGTGAGTTCACGCTGTTGACAGGAAGTTGTTGTTGCTATGGAAACAAGAAAAGTTTCACAGCGGGCGGAACTTGTCATAAAGTCCGCGATAATAAAGCCCACCCATTTAGAGGGAAGATATGATTGGTCAATTGTACTGTCATTTGACATTACTCTCTCGTTCAGTTACTATAGCAACCCTCTGTGAATCGCAGAGAGGGCCAGACGAGATTCTTTCATGTAACCCCTACATTCAAACAGAGAATGAACAGGCAGATTTGAAGGATTTATTTCTTTGGAAATGTTATTTTAAATACAATTAAATCAAGTTTTTTTTCGGTAAAACTAATGAAAAATATAACAAAAATAATATTAAAAAAATATATATTTAGAGGCCTAGAGGGCCCTGACGGCTCGCCACTGGTCAAATCAATCGACAGTAAGGAGAATACTTACTTCCGGGTGTAAAATGCTCTGTTATCCAATGGGAATGGACGCTCAGCTCTTTGGGTCCGTAATACAATAAAGGGGACATGATCAAATAGGAATATAATTATCTTTTAAATAACGTTAACTAAAGGGAACAATCTATTTGACACAGCTGAAGCTCTGGCCTTCCTTAAAAACGAACTAATTTAATAAAAATCACAGTTGTATTTCACACAATACATTGTTTTTTGAGAACAAACATTGGTAAATAATGCACCATAATACATTCTGACGAAAAATAAAAATGATTATGAATACAAATAAAATAAAAGAAGCCTCCTGTGAGTTACTACAAGCTATAAAGTAGATTTTAAAAACGTTTTATAGAATAAAAGCTCAATGCTGGACGTTGTAGAAATGCGTGTGTGCACCACGACAAAGGAGCCTCATTCACTTTACATTGGGGTTGTTTGCGTGGTGCAGACACGTAAATGTAGCAAAGTTCGTGACTCCACCACGCACTGCGGTGTTAAGGAGTCGTGGTGGAGTCACGAATTCTGGTGAGACCAGGTTGGGCTTTTATCCTGGATAAAGTGTTTAAGTCATGGATGTTTAAAGTTTAACGTCTTCATATTTGTCTAATATTATAGTTCACTTTTCATTCATGGAGTATGACGCTGCGCTGTCAGTACACTTCTCCATGTTTCTGATTGGTCAAATGTTGCTAACCCCGCCCCTTTCATGTGAACGAGCACTCAGCCGGACAGAGAAACCCTGGGTGTGTGTGTGTGTGTGTGTGTGTGTGTGTGTGTGTGTGTGTGTGTGTGTGTGTGTGTGTGTGTGTGTGTGTGTGTGTGAATGCAATCTACTGTTTCACCATAACATCTAGAGGGGCGCTGTTTGTTTCACTCTTTGTAAAATACTCAATGAGAGTGGGGGAGAGACGGGCCGGCAGCAACACACAGCAAAGGAGAATTATCGAAACAAAACAAAGTGTTTTTATTTATTTATTTAAATTATAACTACTATCCGAAAAAACAGGGGAAGCGTGACTTTTGTGTTTCTGCCACTGCCATTCCCGCACAAGGTTGCAAAATTGTTGATAAATTCAAGCACCGACACCTGTCTGCTCTCACATTCGCATTGTATCTTGCGGGAACCAATCTTTATTTTTTCACTCTCTATCCAAGCTGCAAATTGAGAGAGAGAACCATTTGATGATGATGTAGAGGAAGAGGAAGAGGTTTCAGAATGTGAGGATCACATTTCTGAGAATTCTGAGTCTGACAGTGACTTTGAAGAAGAGGATGAGATTAGCATCAGCTAGTTACAAAAAGGCAGGGTGTTCTCCTAAAGGAATACCCTTTCCGTAAAAGTTGAAATGTTGAAGTGTTTTCTGAAATGCTGTAGCATTTTGTGAATTGCTGTAGTGTTTAGTGAAATGTTATTTTGACTTGCACTTCAGGGCCACCGTATCATTTGAAGAAACTAAAATAAAAATCATATTCTGGATTTGTTAATACTTTTTTGTTTACTAGATAATTCCATATGTTTTATTTCATAGTTTTGATGTCTTCAGTATTAATCTACAAAGTAGAAACAATAAAAAATAAACAAAACCCATTGAATGAGAAGGTGTGTCCAAACCTTTGACTGGTACTGTATATAAAGCTATTGTAAACTATACATCTTTATTTCTTTTGTTTCTGCAGATACATTTTTCTGCAGAAACAAATCTGCCCCAATTAGAGTGAGTGGTACAAAGTCACTGTTCTACAATAGTGCATCCACCTATTAAGTTCCTTAAAATACACTGTAGGATTCTCATAAAATAAATCTGAGTCGCACATAAATCGGCAGGGTCGGTCGGAAACCTGAAACAAACAATATTTTCTTTTAGGCCTGAGGTGTTTACCACTTTTTAGGATCAGGTCACATGTGTGTCAATTAAACAGCTATTAGTGGCTGATTTCTCTTTTGACTTGTTAGAGAGTCCTGGTTCTTAGATGTGGATCCCAAAAGTGTATCATGGGTATTGTTTGTGGTGTCAGGCTGTATGCAGTTTGCCCTGAGCAGTTTGTGTGAGCAGCCACCAGAGGGCAGCATGGTGCAGGTTTGAACCAGCAGCTGACAGGAGGCTGATGGGATGTTAAACCCAGCACAGATAACAGCATGCAGCTCGCTCTGTAGTATGAAACAGATTGATACACATACACACAAAGAAATACAACATACAGTACAGGTTGATGTGTTGATGGAAATATACACAAAGGATGCACTCTGTTTAGTAGAGTGAAGGGATGTCTTGATTCATTTTGAGGTCACCTGAGGCTTTTTGTAGTTGTTTTGTTTAGATATTTTGTCCTTTTGTGAGTCTTTGCAGTCGTTTTGAGTCCATTTCTAGAAGTTGTTCTTCAAGTCATTTTATACGTCTTGTGTTTTTTTGTAGTCATTTTGTTTCAAATGGTTGTCGTTTTGGGTATCTTTGAAGTAATCTTATGTTAATTTAGTAGTTATTTTACGCAAGGGAGCCCCGATGCATCAGCCAGACATCGCCATCAGCTGATGTTTGACATCATTTCTGCCATCTGCAGATCAGCATAAAAGGTGACATTAGGCGATGGCAGTAGCTGATCTTAATATGTTGTGCTGGGCCATGTGAAGTGCCCACATTGCCAACGTTCAGATCAGGGCTGGGCAATATACTGATATTACTTAAAGATAAAAGGTTCAAAGATGAAATGGTTTTATCGTCATATGCACAACAGTTGTTATGTAGTTTTAACAATACAAATCTAAGACCCACGCTCCTCGAACAGTGCAACTTGGTATAAACTTGAGAAATCAAACTGTGAAAGTGAAACAATTGATTATGTAAATTGTGCAAATCACAGCACTATTATAATTGAATAGGTTGATTTGATTCATGAATGGCATTTATTTCAATTAAATATGTCTTGTTATCATTAAAAGTGACGTGTTATTATGGATTATGATGGACATTATGAAAAACTAGAATATTTTTCATAAAAATGTATAATTTGTTCGGCACAAAAATGGAAAAAATAACAACAAAACAAACAAACATGAAAATATATTAACATCGGTATCGGCATCGGCCCAATTGTTAATCCAATCGTCGGTATTGGTAGTGGCTTTGTGTCAATTTGTAAACTTTTTGTGTCTCTTTGTTGAGTAGAAAGGTCTAATTGAAAGGTGAGCATGGTTGGACATGATATTACCAAATCATTGAAGTTAACTAACGAGCTGTTGTTGATTCTTTTCAGTTCATTCAGAGAGATGGACTCTGAAGGCAGCGGGACGATGGAGGTGGCGGCGCTCGGACGGCATTTCAGCCTCGGGATGTTGTACGACTGCCGCAAAGACTCTCTCGTCCCTGGTGAGGAAAAAACATCACCTTTAAAAACAGAACAACAACATTTTCTTTTTGCCCCCACAAGGAAACACACAGATACAAAGTTATGAATACGTTATTCCAGATGTCTTGTTGATAGCATGGATTTGATTTATGTGATGTTGCAGAGTTGGAGGAAGCAGGTTTGGACTAGCTTTTTTATGTGAGGCTCAAGTTCAGATTCTGGTCAAAGATCACAGGTTTCCTGAGTAGGGTTTGACGTTGGGGGGCCAGGGTTCTGATACAGGATTTAGAGACAAAGTTACCAGGAACACTAAGAAAGACCTCTGTTTGTATGAATTTAGATCAAGAAGGTTAAGTGACATCCATACAGGCAGTCATGGAGAGTACTAATATTACCCATCACATTTTGTCTAACTGAGAGTAAATCTGCGTGTCGTCAGCGTAACAGTGGTGAGAGTCAGGGAACTATACAGGAAGCACCACTGAGGGAATGCTCATCTTTGTTTCAGTATAGATAAGAGACAGAGACCGGAGAGAAAGTTAGAAGTTGGAGCTCGACAAAGGATTCTTTAAAAACACAGAGAAAGACAGGCCCCAAATCTCTTCAAAGACCAGCTATCTCGTATACTCCAGACGTTGATGAGAAGTGACCATCTTAGCTTTTGACCACCTGTAGAAGCCCAGATCCAACTGTTTCCTGCTGCACAGGAAGGCATATTACTTATATATTGTCAACTTTATATGGATTTCAATGACTACTTTTTTTACGATGTTGTATTTTAGTGTTGCCTCTGTGTTTAGTGTCCTGTCTGTCTGTAACTTTGTGTAGTAGTGTTACCACTGACAGGTCTCTCTTGAAAATGAGACCTTGTGTCTCAATGAGATTTTACACCTGTATAAATAAAGGCTAAATAAAAAAATAAAAAAATAGTTATATGACTGTCCCTTAAAGTTAGTGTGTATTAAGGAGCTCGATTCTTTCTTCTTCTTTTGCAGGAATGACTTTGTGGGACCATGAGGACCTTAAAAAACATACTGGAGAAAGACCACAGAATTATAATGATTTTGATTTAGTTGCTTCTGAATCAATTGAGGACAAATCTTCAGCACTAAATGTTGAAGCATCACTGAAGGCAAGTTTCTTGGGTGGACTGGTAGAGGTTGGTGGATCAGCCAAATACCTGAACGATAGTGAGACTTCCACAAATCAGGCCAGAGTAACACTGAAGTACCAAGCTACCACAAAGGTCCAAGAACTGTCCATGAATCATCTTGGAAGAGGCAATGTTAAGCATCCATATGTCTTTGAGAAAGGAATAGCCACACATGTAGTCACAGGTATCCTTTATGGCGCTCAAGCCTTCTTTGTCTTTGACCGTGAGGTGTCTGTCAACGAGAACCATCAAGACATTCAGGGCAACTTGAAGGTGATGATCAAGAAAATTAGCTCCGTTTCAATAGAGGGCGAAGGCTCGCTGAAAATTGAAGACAAGGACAAAGCAAATGTTAAAAAACTGTCCTGCAGATTCTTTGGAGACTTTTTAGTTCAGAAACCTCCAACATCCTTTCAGGAGGCAGTAGAGGTGTACCAAAGTCTGCCAAAGCTGCTGGGAGACAACGGGGAAAAAGCAGTACCAGTGAAGGTCTGGCTGTTGCCTCTGATATATTTAGATTCTAAAGCCGCTAAACTTGTCCGTCAGATAAGTATAAGATTAGTTGAAGAATGTCAGAGTGTCCTGGAGGACTTCAGTGACCTGGAAATGAGGTTCAATGATGCACTGAGAACCCAAACTGCACAGCAGTTCCCACAGATTGGAGAAAAACTCAAAACCTTTAAACAGAAGTGCTCTCAGTTCAAACTGGAATTCCAACAAACCCTGGCAAAGAAACTTCCATCAATCCGAGGAGGAGGAGAAGAAGAAGCTGTGCTCGCAGAGGAACTGAGGAAGACATGTTCTTCTCCTTTCAACAGCAAGGACCTGAACGAGTGGATGGACTGTAAGGAGAGAGAAATATACACCGTGATGTCTCTGACCGACATGATGACAAACACCAAGATCATCTCATCTCAAACAGACCTGAACAAAGAAAGCTTCAAAGCAAAGCAGGCTGTGTGTTTTGTCTTCACCTCGCTGGGAAGTGATGAACCGTACCTCTCAACTTTATCAAACTACCTTAAACAAACACCCAAACCAGACGACGCTCAAGATCCCCCCCCTCCAGATCAATGGTACAACTCAAGAGAAGAAATGGAAGCAATGCGGCAAAAAGCAAAGCTCTTCAGTGATTTAGCAGAGGCCAACAAGGAGAACAAGAACATCACATTCCTGACGGTGGGTTTAACAAACGAGACACAGAAAGGTGCCAGCATCTACCTTTATACAGACGGCTTTTCTGTCAATGAGGACTTTGAGCCGCCTTCAAAGCCTGCATCAGTAACAGGAAGTGATATAAACCACAACAGTGTGACGCTGAACATTTCTCCACCCAGATCTGGAGCAGAGGACATCACCTCCTACTCTGTTGAGTACTGTGTCAGAGGAGAGGACGGCTGGAAACAAGAGACAGCATCCAAAGCTGAAGAAGTCACAGTGAGCGACCTGAGTCCTAACACAGAGTACATGTTCAGATGCAGGGCAGAGACACCAGGAGGTGCCGGGCCAGCCAATGAACTCAGTGGATCCATTCAAACCTTACCCTGCAGCCCTCCTGGAAAACTCCACGTTGAATCTACCTCAGGTGAGATATCAGTCAGCTGGGAGAAACCTGCTGAGCTCGGACAAGATGTCCACGTTTTGAGCTACATCGTGGAGTACGCCAAACCAGACCAACAGGTGAAAGAGGAAGATCTCCACTGGGAGCAAATGAAGGCAGGAGCTGAGAAGGCGATCATTTCAGGACTTCAGCCAGAGACAGAATACGCTGTCAGGGTCAGGTGTGATTGTGGTGCAGCTGGAAGAAGCAAAGAAAGCATCACAGTTAATGTCGCCACAACTAAACCAAAAACTAAACCTTTACGTCTCGCAGAATTCCTCAAAAGGAAAAGCAAAAGGATCAATTCTGAATCTCCCTCAGTTTACAAACTGCCTCTGACAGAAGAAGACATGGAAGTTGAAGGATGCCGGAGGTACAACTTTGGCAAAGAAAGCATGACACGAAATCGCACAATAATGCTTCTTGGAGCAACTGGATCTGGAAAGTCCACTCTGATCAATGGACTCATCAACTACATCGTTGGTGTAGAGTGGGAGGACGATTTCAGATTCAAGTTAGTTGATGAGGATCAGTCGAGATCTCAAGCTGAGAGCCAGACCTCTGAAGTCACTGTGTACAACATCAACCACCAAGAGGGCTTTAAAATCAATTACTCTCTGACCATTGTGGATACTCCAGGTTTTGGAGATACAAGAGGAATAGAAAGAGACGAGGAGATCACAGAACAGATTCGTAATCTCTTCTCTTCAAAGCGTGGCGTCAGTGAAATTGACGCAGTGTGTTTTGTAGTTCAGGCTTCTTTAGCTCGGCTCACACTAAGACAGAAGTATGTGTTTGATTCTGTGCTCTCAATCTTTGGCAAAGATGTTGCAGAAAACCTCCAGATTCTGGTGACATTCGCAGACGGCCAACGCCCACCAGTTCTAGAGGCGATCAAAGCTTCAGGTGTCCCATGTCCTCAAACAAAAGACGGGCTGCCAGTTCACTTCAAATTCAATAATTCTGCATTGTTTGCACAGAACCAATCATCTGCTGCTGCTGACTCGAGTGGGGATGAGGAAGATCTGGATATAGTCTGGGATCAGATGTTATGGGAAATGGGGGCAAGAGGCATGAAGAGGTTCTTTGTGGCTTTAGATAAGATAACAACCAAAAGCTTGACAATGACAAAGGAAGTCCTCAGAGAAAGAAGGCAGCTCCAGATCACAATTGAAAATATGCAAAAGCAGGTTAAAGTGTGTTTAGCCCAGCTTGAGGAGATTAAAGAGACAACTGAACAACTTAAACTGCATGAAGCAGAGAGCAGCAGAAATAAGCAGGTTCAGGAGCTGAAAGAAAAGTACCTGAAGGCCTCAGAGGCTAAGGGAACTGTTCAGGAAGTGATCAACCGAATGAAGGCTGAATATCACCGTCTTCTGACTGAAGTGAGGGAGATGGCTGCCAAGTCTATAAACAGACTAGGAGAGATCGCACTGCGGCCAAATCCTCTCTCCACTACAGAGTTCATTGACCTGCTTATTAAGTGGGAGAAAGTTGGAGCCAAGTCAGGCTGGAAGCAACGAGTCCAGCACCTGATGGAGATGAGAGGACAAGCAGAGCTCATGGGTAAAGTAAGGAGAGGAGAACACCTGCTTTAAAGTGAAGAATCTTTAACTGAGAGCAACATCAAGACCAGCTCCAACTGAGACCAAGACAAGAGCTGAACATGATATCAAAGAAGAGACGTGTAAATACACAATTAAACAAGACAGGATAGTGAGTGATACTGATCAAGAGTCCTTGATGGCCAACACAACCAAGTGACCATGACACAAATGTTCATGGGTCATTTATGTTTTTTATTCTGTTCTTACAAAGTTATCGTTTAACTGTTTTTTAATCATGAAGGATTACATTTTTCAAAGCAAGAAGGTTCGTCTTGAAGAAATGCTGAAGGAGCAGCCGAGAGAAGCTCCTCCAGAGTCCACAGTGATCACAAATCCTTTGGATCAAAACCAAACCAAGACCAAACAGATGCCAGCAAGACCAAGAGGAGATCTATCAACAAACTGGAAGACGTCTGTGTTTTTATATCTGAGATGATCTCACCAACGCTGGGACCCATCTACTTCCTGTTTGGCATGTGTGTTGCTATGGACCAGGGGGAGGTGCTGCCCCGTGTGAGGCTGTTTGGATCAGCGGTTCTGTAGGAATATGAGAGAACCCGGTCCACCCAGCGCTGAGGTGGAATGCAGTTCAAAGTGAAATGTTGGACTCTTTACTTCACCACTCTACTCTTTACTCTTCTGCATCGGGTACCTTTACATTTATTACTATCGCTTCATTTTGATTATACTTTTACACACTTTTACCTATGTGACATTTTGAATGCAGGACTTCTACTTGTAACAGTATCTATACAATGTGGTATTATAACTTTAACCAAAGTAAAGTATCTGAATACTTCTTCTGTCACTGATACAACACATGAAGTCCAAATAGACCCGCACTCAGAGCTCTAGTGTTAATCAATGAATTACAAAGCTTTATTGTTCTCCTGCACAAACATCTCCCTGCAGGAGCAATCTGCATGTTCTGTTTGACAGGAAGTAACATGTACCATGTGCATGAAATGTGAAAGTGTGATTGTTTTGTGCAGAAATCATTAACGTCCTGACACCATTACCACCAATGGAAAAGATGAAACCTGCAAGTTTATTAAAAGTGATGTTTATTTTCTATTATGATCATTTACAAATATCAGATTATTGCTAAATGTTTTTTCTGCTCTTCATGTTATTTTCTTTGAGATTTCAAAACTTAACGTGAATTTTGTTAATGATTTATTGTATTGTGGAGTGTCCTGAAATGATACGGTGGCTCCTGCTGGATGATACAATAAAACAATACATTTTTCAAAGTCAAAGTCAACTTTATTATCAATCTCAAAATATGTTTGAACACACAGAAAGATCGGAATATTGTTTCCCACAGTCCCGAGGTATAAAATAACACATTAAAATACAAGAACACTCAATAATTACAAAGAACCACAAAATAACCGTTTACTTCAAGTAAGCAGGATATATATAAAAAAAGATGATGTGCAAATGGGAGTGCAAACATTTCCTTAGCAGCGTGAAAGTGACTGGTAAATCAGACTAACGTAAAGATTATTTTAATCAGAACAACAGATATGAGAATAAGGAGATTAAAGAAGATCTATCAACAGCTGAAGGGAAAAAGTATAACTTTTAAATCTTGTATTTTTCACATAAAGTTTGAATTTATTTCCATTGTAATCGTTTTACTGTGTTGTTGTTTTAACCGGGTTATCAGCTTCCTGCTTAGTTTAACATTCTTACTATTAGTTTAATATTCTTTGGGTTTTAAAAACATTATACCTGATACTGATGTGTATTGATTATCATTTACTGACAGATGGAGAAATCATTCATTAACAATAAATACATGTTGTTACGCCTCAAATGTTTCTGACCCTTAACTTCTCGCTGCAAAGTAACTTTTACTCCATTTACTAAAGAACTGAAGTTCAGTTTAGAGATATTTTACTTTAAAGTCATACTTTATAACATTTTAGGAGAAACTATTTCATATTTGACTGCAGTCCATTATCAGACAGCTGTAAGTACTAGTCACTTTCAGATTCACATATTTTTTGTTTTATATAACCTTATTTAACCAGATGAAAACATTGAGATAAAATCTCATTTTCAATGCTGACCTGGCCAAGAAGGCAGCAACGTTACACATAACACATAACACAAACATATAAAATACAGAGAACATAACTGAGAAAACAAAAGAGGAAAAAGCAGTCCCTACATTGAGCACATTAGGACAATAAAAAAAGTACACTACTTGTTACTGCAAGAGCAGCTGGTGGTGAGGACTTCAGACAACTTCAATTTAAAACATGATATAGAGACAAGTGCCCTTAGTTTGAGGCTTGATTGAAGGTCATTCCAAGACCAAGGACCATAATAAGAAAGACTCCTTTTTCCAGCCTCAGTCCGTACAGTAGGAACCTGGACCCGTATCCAGGCACTGGATCTGAGGTTGTGAGAGTCACAAACTGGGGCAAATCTGACACATATGTAGAGTGGAAGCTTACCTAAAATGGCTTTATACATTAATAAAAACCAGTGCTGCATCCTACGCATAGTAAGTGAGGACCATCCAGTTAGGCTATACAGTCAATGATGAGTCCTATAGGGTGCATTTGATATATAACCAGAGATGGGGTCGTTACTAAAAAAAAGTAATGTATTACATATTACATATTACTTTAAAAGAAAGTAATATATTAATCTACTTCGTTACTCTCTACATAAAGTAACTCGTTACTTTACTCGTTACTTTACTCGTTACTTTACTCGCAGGGCCGGCCCGCCCCTCCCTACAGGCAGATCACGCAGACTGCTAAAGTTTCAAATGTTCTCTTTAGTTCAGTTTCCATTGTCGCATAAGACTGATCCAGATAGCTCTGACTATGGCTGTCCTCTGTCTCCTGCTATCTGTATTTTGCGCAGTATATCTCTGAACGATGCGATGGTGATTCCACTGTGCAAATGGGCAACATTACCTCTACTATGAAGGATGCTACAAGCCTGTCCATCTCTGCTTTGGTTACCGGTCCTCCAAATTCTAATTTGTGCTGCTTCGGAGTTGGCGGCGGCGCACTCACAACATCCTCACTCTGGGTTTGGGGGTCCTTAGCTATTAGCTTCACCTTAGCATGTGTTCTTTGCAGGTGTTTGTTGAGGTTTGACGTGGTGTTTGCAGCAGTGTATAACAGCTTCTGGCCTGGACACAGTTTGCACCTCACCGTCACATTCCTGTCTATTCTTCGGACGAACTCAAAATAATGGGCAGACCTCCACCCCTCGAAAGTTATCGCTGACTCAGCCATGTTTATGCAGCACTGCACGTGGAGATGTGGACGCGCAAGTCGCACAGATTACGTGCATATAAACCTGCGGCGGAAACCCCTCTTGTCTGTCAGTGTGATTATGACTGATTTTATAAAAGTAACGAAGTAACGCGTGTCGGGGCAATGTTAGTAACTGTAGTGTGATTACTGAATTATAAAAGTAACGCGTTACACTACTCCGTTACCGACAAAAGTAATATTATTACAGTATTATTACCCAACTCTGTATATAACGCAGTGCAGCATGATAGAGTGGGTCAAGTTTGGCCAAAACAGTGGGACAGGCAAATCTAGAAATGGTATCACCGTAGTCAAGCTGGGACAGGAATAAGCCAGAGACCAACCTTTTACGGGATGAAGTTGAAAAACAACATTTAAGTCTGAAAAGGAAGCCAAGAGTGAATTTCTTTGTTAGAACTTCAATGTGGTGTTAAAGGTGTTGAATGAGCGACACATTTTCCTTGTTACTGTCCCTAATATACAGCAGTTAATGTAAGCTTCACTCAACATACGTTAGCTAACGTTAGCTTTAGAACATTGTACTGCACACAAATCTTTAATCCCCTTATTATTTCAGCCAATACTTTGGCTCTCCATAACTTCAGCTTATTTTCAGCTACAGAAACCATTCAAATATTAAACTATTCAGCCTGTTCAGGAATCGATGGGAAATCTTCAACTTTTAAAAAATATTTTATACTTTTGAAATATTCAGCTTTTTAAACTCTTTTTTTAACATGGAAGTCAATGGGAGATGCCTTCAAATCCTCTTTTCCTACACCTTGCGCCAAATGCTACTCCTTCACATACTTTCAGCTAGACACTTCATTCCAACTTTCAAATGATCACAAGACCGTCAGCTATTCAAACTTGATTTTATTTTTGATATCTTTTACACTTTTTGAGATATTTAACTTAGTTTGGAGCTTGGTAGAGAGGCCTTCTTCAGATTTTAACATTAGTGTGGATGGAGCAGCTCGTTAAGTCTAGAGTGCTTTGATCTCAAAACAGAGTGCAGCAGTTCTTCAAATTCTCCCCAAAAAACGTTTTAAACTTGCCATAATTCCCAAACCCTACACTCCTAAAAAAAAATTAAGAAGAAATATTAATCAAAATGCCTCTTGAGGGCATGAAGAGACAAAAAGTCCAGCTAGCTCCCAATTGATTCCCATGTTAAATCTTTCCGGAACTTTCTTCAGAACAGAGAGAAGTACACTTTAGACAAACTGCTCCCATCTCCACATTTTACACACAAAACCAAAAAAACAAACATATATCAGTTCATTGGGGTTCCCTGATGCTCACGGTCTGGTAATTAGTGCGAATGCTGTGCCACAGCATTCCACTATAGTTCTTCGATTTTCTTTATTCTTCCCCTTATTATAGTGCGAATGCTGTGCCACAGCATTCCACTATAGTACTTCAAATCTGTATTCTTTCCACTTATTTCAGCCAATACTTTGGCTCTACATAACTTCAGCTTATTTTCAGCTGCAGAAACCATTCAAATATTGAACTATTCAGCCTGTTCAGGAATCGATGGGAAACCTTCACATTTTTTAAAATATTTTATACTTCTTGAAATATTCAGCTTTTTAAACTCTTTTTAGTGAGAATGCTGTGCCACAGCATTCCACTATAGTACTTCAAATCTGTATTCTTCCCCTTATTAGGGCGAATGCTGTGCCACAGCATAAAGATTAAGAAAAAATATTAAACAAAATGCCTCTTGAGGGCATGAAGTGACAAAAAGTCCAGCTAGCTCCCAATTGATTCCCATGTTAAATCTTTCCGGAACTTTCTTCAGAACAGAGAGAAGTACACTTTAGACAAACTGCTCCCATCTCCACATTGTACACACAAAACCAAAAAAAACAACATATATCAGTTCATTGGGGTTCCCTGATGCTCACGGTCTGGTCATTTTTTGATAGGAGCCATAGTTTTTGAACAGGTGGCAAAATTGTCAGATATAATCCTCAATGCATTCTTAATGGGACTGCGGTTGGTAAATCGTCATAAATCGTCACCATGGTAACCTTTGATCTCTGGGTTTACACACACAGGGGTTTGTAAACATTCATTCACTACTACTTACATTTAATATCTTTATTTAACTCCTTGAGCCTAATTTCAGCTGCAGGAACCATTCAAATATCAAACTATTCAGCCTTTTCAGCACTTGATGGGGAAACTTTCAACTTTTTCAAAATATGTTATACTTTTTAAAACATTCAGTCTTTTTTTAACATGGAAGTCATTGCAATGCATTTGAGCTGTAACAATTCACACACACACACACACACACACACACACACACACACACACACACACACACACACACACACACACACACACACACACACACACACACACACACACACACACACACACACACACACACACACACACACACTCTCTCTCAGACAGACAGACAGACAGACAGACACACACTCTCTCTCTCTCTCTCTCACACACACACACACACACACACACACACACACACACACAC